CTCTTCAACTTGGACTGATGTGAGTCACACATTAGTCCAGTTCACCATCGATGGTAAACTGCTCTACTTCTAATATCATACATATTTATATTTATATCTACAGTGACACTCGTGCTGCAGGTGGACCTTCTGGACTTTACTCGTTTTTCTATAATGAATCTGCTCGTGCTGCAGGTGGACCTTCTGGACTCGTTTTTCTATAATGAATCTAGAACAGTGACGTCAGGACTTGAACCCTACTCCTCCCTACACAGAGTCCGTCGGTTGTGTTCTAACCTGGTGTCTGGGCTCCAGCCCACTGTCTCCCTCCAGTGTGTGGACGCAGCACAGTCAGTGTTTCAGACAACCACACACTTTAACACAAAACATCTTAACTATTCACTTCATTCTTTTTTTCCTCCAAATTCAACCCAGAGTCGAGGGAAGACAATTACAACCTTCCAAGCCTTTTCCAAAGACCTCGCTGTTGTTTTTACCCACAAATCCCTTGTTTTCGCACAAAAGCAGACAAACCACAGAATTCCATGTTTCAGCTGCACATAAAACCTTCTGCTCATATTTGCTGCCTGTGGACTGACGCTGAAGCCTGGATCAAGTGCAGCTACGGCTTCAGTGTCTGGCCTCACTATCCACAACCTTGAAACTGTCAGAGTGACTGGTCTTTGGTTTGGCTCAGAGGAAACGTCTGATATGAAGCAGAGGTGAAACCAGGCTGTTTGTTGAGACGGAGGATTAAGGTTTAAGGATTTGAGTCTTTGAGAGTCTGGGAGTCCAGAGTCTGCCGTCTGTCCACTGGTCATTAGTCTTCGTCTGGGACATCGGATGAACGAACGAGGCCTCAGGACCAGGACCAGGACACGGAGCGCATGTCAGTCAGCTGGGCTTCAGTGATTGGTCGATGGGTTATTGTTGACAAAGTTCATTTTTAGATACTTCGTACTTGAGACGTCAAACAACGTCATCAAACTTCAGGTCAGATGGTGTCACTCCAGCAGGAAGTAAATCTAGAACTGACAGTCAGTTACTGAGGTTATTGACGACAAGGACTTAACGCCTGATAACCTTAAAACAAAGAAACTCTGAAATACTTTAAAAACAAAGTCATTTGTTGCAGTATCAGGGTCTTTTCCTCGAGACAGAGACCATGAGCTGCTGAATACTTTCTTCAATCTATCGATTTCACGCCGTTCCCTGAACCCTAACCTGAAATACTGAAGAGCTCTCCGTTGTCGTGGTCTGGACCGGGCTCAGTCCTGTACTGCACCATAATCACAGTCATTCAGCTCCGTGCGGTTCATGTTCCACATTCCTGATGCTGTTTAGGATCAGTGATGTACAGTCCACACCTCCTTCTTTGTTGTTGTGGTCAGAGCTGCAGCGGTGAGTCAACACTCGTACGTCTCCACCTCTGATCTAACCTAGGTTCTAACTGAAAGCAGAGCAGCCGGGTTTACCCCTGCCCTCCGTGTTCCTGGGGTTCTGCCCCTATGGACGACATCTGCTTTGGATTTAGGCTTCCTCCTCCTTCACTCCTCGCTCTCCCAACTCGTGTTCCTCCTTCTCTGTACTCCCCCTCAGCAGCAGTGGTGGTGGAAACTCTGCTGTTTGGCCAGAACTTCTCTTTGTCATGAGGAGCAGGAGGCTGTTGACCATCGTGCTCCTTCAGTGGGGGGTGGGGGGAGGGTGTAGTCGGGACTTTGTGGAATCAGTGATTTATGATGTAGCTCAGATTAGGATTACAGTCAAATTAGAGATTAAGATTAGGGACAGTCAATGGTTGAGTGTGGTGATTCTGTATAAGCAGCAGCCGCAGCACCACGGAGTTAGGTCAGCGGCCGGCCTGCAGTCCAGATGACCAGAATCAAACAGAAAAGTCAACCAAAAACAACAAGAACAACCAGAACAACCAGAACAACCAGAACAACCAGAACTGTGGAGCAGCACAAATGTCCAACAACAAGAAGTAAAATCTGTAACAACGAGTTTGATCCTCACTGGACCAGGATTCATCAACTGATCACTGTTGATGACATGAATTATTTGTTAGATGGAGGCAGAAACAACTGGACCAGGTCTGAATCACAGCAGGGACTCATCAAAAACATCACACACACACACACACACACACACACACTTCACGGTCAGTGAACCGTTGAATGAAACACACTCACTGATGCAATCTCTACGTGAAACATGGCCACACACAGTCACACACACACACACAGTCACACACACACACACACACACTCAGATCGTTTTCATACACTCTGTGTGTGTTTGTTGCTCAACTCCCACTCAAGTATTTTGCTTCTGCTCCAAAGGAAGAACATTCACACACACACAGACACACACACACACACACACACACACACACACACACACACACACACTGACTCAGTGTCTGTTGTTTCTCGTTTCTTCACCTTTAAAGATGTTTTTTTTTTCTTTCGCTCCGTGTGAGTCTGAACTTCCTGTGGCACAGACTCCTCCCACCGCTGTTTGTTGTCATGACACACTGCCCCGTGTGTGTGTGTGTGTGTGTGTGTGTGTGTGATTATTTTCCTGGAATTTGAGCTGAACTAAAACATTTACTCAGTTCCTGTGTCTGTTTACAGCTCGAGGTTAGGATTTATAATCCAGCTCTGATGTTGATCCACAGACGAGAACCTGGACCTGGACCTGGAGCTGGACCTGGACTTCTACTGACCTCAGTCCAACACTACGTTTCCCACAATGCAATGGGTCTTTTTCACATTTCCCAACATTATGTAAAATATGACCAGAGGACAATAACGTCTGTGAACAGTTGGCGTTATTCATTAGCCTGTCTGTAACTGTCAGTACTGGTCTGTGGTCAACATTTGGACAATATCTTTAAATGTTAATGTCCAGTATCATTACCTTTGTTTTCCGTAAATAAGAAAATATTCCTATTTAATGAAATATCATTTGACAAAATATCATGAAGAGGGCCGGTGTTGGCCCGTGGGCCATATGTTTGACATCGCTGCTTTAAACCTCAGTCTAAAAGGAGAGAATCGGCTTTAAAGTTATAAAAATATAGTCAAAAAAAAAACAAAAAAACAAAAAGACAGAGCAAAGAAACCGTCAGAACCAAATGTGGCCAAAGGTACAGAAACTTGTTGACGAGGCCGTTCATGACGGTGTAAGTCAAAGAACAACAGAGAACAGCATTTGCAAAAAATAAACAAAAAAAGTTTGGTGAAAATTTAGCCTGAAACAGTGGACGTGAACAGATGAATAAACACCACCATGAAGGAGACAGAAAAAGAAAGTCCAAACGTTGAAGAGCCCGTGTGGTTTGGCAGCTGGTGACTCTCCCACCCAGTTTATCATCAGGCTAATTTATTTTCTTCACTTCAGCGGCGTTTCTAGGAAAGAGAAAAACCTAGAGAGTGTTGTGATCCTGGTGGGGTTTTTTTCTAACATTTTGAAGTTGGATCGTATCGTAACTGCTTGATTTTCAGGGGAGCAACCAAACAGAGAGTTGCCATGGTGTCGTCTCAGAGATGACTTACTGATTGCGTGGAGAGACAGCTGTGACAGTGTGTAAAGACTGTCGGCCAGCAGGACTCAGATTTTCCGGCCAGTGGTGTGTGTGTGTGTGTGTGCTGTCACAGGGGGAGTGGGAAGCTGACAGCAGGGGTTGAGGTCATGCTGTTAACGCTGAGAGCCCGATCTGAGCCTGACGCCGCAGCAGAGCAGCAGAGCAGTGACGTCCGTCAGGACGACACCAGGTGCCTCTGATTAAGGTTTCTTTAGGGCCAGAGTTTGAGGGACGTTAACCTTCCCCATTTAGACCTGACCAGTGTCCAGTAAGATGATCCAAACATGAGGTAGTTTGGTAGAAAAATCTGAGTTGAAGAGGGAAAAGCTGGTTTTAGCCTGAACACAGACTGTTTTAATAACCAGCCGTGACTTTGCTCTGTCACGTTGGATATCAGTCACTGCAGCCCATCATCCAGTTGAAGTTAGCTACTGCAGCCAGGCTGGAAATACAGGGAAATACTCAGCACTGTAGCCGTCTTAGCCGTATGCTAACTAAAGAGTGCACCTTTGCCAAGTGTAGTGGAATGTAGTCCGAGATTTCTGTTATTATAATAAAACCAGACAAAAGACAAAATTAAATATAAAATTTAAAAAAATAGCTCCGAAATTGGCTGAAGGGTCTTAGCCAATATTAATCTGGCTGTCGTGGCTAAGAAAACATGGCTGCCAAAAAAACATGGACAAGGCAGTTGGCAACAAAAAAGCAACAAATAAAATCCTCACTGCACTCATTTAAGTTTATAAAGAAATGCACAAGAGTTTTGACCAGCGCCCCCTAGTGTTGTTGATTGACACCGTTTGCAAAGTTTAGATTTTTGGGAATCGTCTTAAATTTCTCTCATCTTTCTGTCCTTCATTTGAAAAAACAGAACCTGCTCTGAGATTAAGGACAACTTCTCACACAGCTGCTAATCTGTGTTAATCTGGGTTTCTTTTTTGGCGTCTGACTGCAGCGCTGGTCACTGAGACTTTCTGATTCACTCGATTGTAACAATCTTTTGAGGATTAAGTCGGAGCCTCTTTCCTCCAGCTCTGTTGTTGTGTGGCCAAAATGATGATGATGATGATGTCATCAGAAGAGTTCCTCCTACCAACGACAGTGTCCTTCAGGCCAGTGGGTTTTTTTTTCTGACCGACTCTTGGTCATCATCTCCCTCCAGAGAATCAGAGGTTCAGAGTAATTTGATGCAGATGTAATGGAAGTTAGCGTCAATTACACAACCGCACACGCAGCCAACTCCATCGTACGTCAAGACAGACGTCTGATGGAGTCATGGAGACATGTTACGTCAAGACAGACGTCTGATGGAGTCAGACATGTTGGACAAGGACAGTCACGCCCGGCCACCAGGGGTCACCCTGCGGTGCAACGTTGAACTGAATGGCTGATAAAATTCTTCATCTTAATCTTTCCTATTTCATGTTTTCAGGCCAGACCTAAAGGAGAAGGTTTGACTCCGTACCAGGGGAAGAAGAGATGCTTCGGAGAATACAAGTGTCCCAAGTGTAAAAGGAAGTGGATGAGCGGCAACTCCTGGGCCAACATGGGACAGGAGTGCATCAAATGCCACATTAACGTCTACCCACACAAACAGGTAACACCAGCCTCTCTCTAATTTGGTAAAAAGAAAAAAAAGGTGGGATATTTGATTACAACATCTGTGCAGTGTTCAGCATTTTGGATTTACATCCTGGTTTGTTCCGTGTGTGGGTGTGGAGTTTACCCCTAGTCCTCTTTGTGGTTTCCCCCAATGTGAAGGGTGTAGTTTGATTTTTTAGAACTGTGTTTATATGAAATCATTTGTTTTTTTGAAAGACCATGAACAACTACTGCTAACTGAGCCAATAAGACTTATATCTTCCCTGGAGCGCCACCTCTGGAAGATCTGATCCATGACAGAAGAATTTGGCCAATCACAGGACGGAGTAGAGATTTAGGATCATTCCAACAACGACGATCCAGATGGGAAAAGTCCGGAGAAGATAAAAATGTTGATAGACTCCGTTTTCTTTCACGGCCCAGATCCTTTTCCAGCTCATATGTATCTCTGCATTGGTAAAAACTCAAGAGGCATCGAGAGGTAGAGTCGTTGTTGACTTGTTAACCAACTGTTTCGTCAAGCTAGCTACAGTATTTAAGCTAACAAGGCCAGGAAGCGGCTCGACTTTTCAATACTTTTTCAAAACAAATTTTTTCACTGCATTTGAAAAACAACTATGAAAACATTTCTGTCTCCAAGGAGAAGCAGGACAGAACATTATAGAGAACCACTGCACCAAAGTCACCTTCTGTTCTGTGGATTCTAACGCTACCATGGACAAACCACGAGATGAAAACTGTTTTTCAGACCAGACTGGAGGAGGACCAGGTCGGACGTCTGCGCAGCATCATTTATTTTAACAAACAATAAGTGACCTCGCTGAGGTCATTCAATTTACATTACCTCAAAAGGTTAGGGTGGAATTTCTGACCATTAATCCTGGAAGACATTTTTTCCAAAGCTCTTTGTCGTAGAGCTGAGGTGTAGGAGACGTAGAAGTCGGACCGGACCAGAGTCCAGACTCCTGTTGTGCTGAGACTTGACAACATTCAGATGGCCTCATTTAAATGACATTTAAATCATGCCTCTAACATCTGGTTTTTGCCTAAATGGTAATAAACCGGTGCTTAATGAACTTCATTAACATGTTCTGATTTTTTTGTTTTTTTGTTTTTTATTATTTCCTCTCGTCATTAACTCCAGTGAAACTCTTTCCTAATCCTGGCTCCCACACACCACCTTAACTCACAGCTGCAGAAATTCCTCAAAACATTGAAACGCTGCTCTCTGGGATTCTCTAGAATGCTTCCCTTCTTCCAAGCAGCAAACGCTCGGTGGGAATTAGAGTTGCCGAACCGTCTGTTTGGCTTCACCTCAAAAATGTTCCTCCCAGCCGGTGTTTACTGAAGAGACGTACGGACGCAGCTACGATCCGTCCTGTTTTCTTCAGCTCCAGATATATTTATCCTCAACACTTGATCCTGTAATATTTATGCTTTTCCACATTCTCTGAATTCCACATCCTGAAATAAAATTAGCGAGCGATGCCTGAGGCCCTGCTTGTTCTTCCACTTCTGGACGATGTTACAACAGGAAGAGCCTGACAGACTCAGGGTTGTGTCTGGACAGGCCTCAGTTATCACAAATATGTTTCCACTTGATCGGTGGGATACGTTACGTCCACACTAACTGTCTGGGCTATTTATAAAGACACACAGGCTGACATGACACGGAGTTCAACACACACCAGAATCTGCTTGAACTGGATTAAAATCATTTACAGAAAGACAAAAGTTTACCTTTAAATCCATGATAAATGGACAGATAGTTCAGACTGATGATTCAGACGGCGGTGGCTATAATTAATAAAATATGAATTATTGAGTCCCTCATACGTCCCCCACAGAGGACATCTAGAGTCTCGACACAGGCTGCTAAAAGTTAGCATAAACCACAAGAAAGTCATCACCTGGTATGATTTACTGTCTATTTCCTGAGTAACTTTTTATTTTCTTTTTTATAGAAATTATTATTAAATTCAACGTTCTGCCTTTTGGCTAATTCGCGATTTTTTTTCTGTCTGAATAACTGCTTAACTACACTTTAGCTTTTTTTGGTATTTGCGTCTAATTGTGAGGCATGTTTGGTCAACATTTAGTTTTTATAGTCTATATAAATAATATCATTAAGTACAGACTCCAGTTATTCCTTCATTCAGCTTCTTATTGTCTAACGTTTGTGAGATGTAAACACAAATGTGCCCTAAAATTCCTTCACTTCATTTCAACCATGGATTTGTCTGTTCTGACTCTTTGATTAATGAACCCTAACTCCTGCCCAACAACTGTAAAAAATATATTCATATTACTAAAACATAAGAATTTCATATTTTGTCCAGCTGGAAGAAAAGTTTGGCTTCACACAGAAAAGCTGCACAGAAAGTTTGCAATATTATCCACCAATCATATTTCTTCCTGTCAGGATTTCCTGCCTGATCTTCCTCTATTGTCTTAAATCCTTGCAGAAAGATATATATATATATATATGCTATATATGCATGTTATGATGTGTGGTTTCAAGTCAGTGACGAAGCCCCAGCCTTTAGATTTGAAAACCTGAATTCTCTCTTAACTGGAAGAACCTTCTTGACTACAGACAGGATAATGGATTATGGTTAAACTAGTTGAAGAGTCAACGAGGACCTGGTGGTTTATGATTTTTTCATTGACTTTGAAAAGATCCGGCTCCACGGTCGAAGCTTCAACCTTGTGTTCAGCAGAACTTTGGCAGTCGCTGCTCAGGACTTTGAAACTACTCTGCCTCCTCCGCATGTTTTAGAGGAAATAATTGACAGACAGGATTTCTAAAGCCCTACGACTGGAACATCACTCAGAGCAGTAACTCTTTTCGTCTGCCGTGAGAACTTTTAACTGCATT